TTAGCGTCCGGACTAGGGCATGACGGCGCTCTTCTACGCGGCCTCGAGCGGACGCGTCCCGATCGCCATGATGCTCGTCGAAGCTGGCGTCGACGTCAACAAGAGCACCTCGGTACACTCGACGACTCGATGGGATGCGACGCCATTGACGTGCGACTAGCTCGGCGAGTACCCGATCTACATTGCCGCCGCCAACGGCCACGCAGAAGTCGTCCAGATCCTCGTGACGGCCAAGGCGAATGTCAACAAGGTCAAGAAAGACGGCGACTCGGCGTTGTACATTGCCGCGGCGAATGGCCACACACGCATCGTCGAGCTGCTTGTGGCGGCCAAAGCCGACGTCAACAAACCCAACAAGGTACTCATCGATCTATCAAGTCGACACACATCTGAATCTTCATGCAGACGGGCGACCTGCCGATCAAGATGGCGGCGCAAGGCTGCCGAAAACACGACGCGTACGACGTGCAATTGCTCCAAGATGACCTCTCAAGCGCGCTCCGAGACCGAGACGCGTACCGCTTGCGGCTCAAGGAGGCGCTCACGGACACCAAGGCGCTGAAAGTCCAGCTCGCGCGGACGACGACGTTGCTCAAGAGCTGCGGCCACGTGTTGCATGCCCACGGGTGCTCGCCGCACGCAATTGCCGCGCTCGAAGCGTTGCTGGCCACGCCATTGACGGCCAGCGCCGATGCCGCCGTCAAAGTGGCGCACCTCTGCGCATTCTGCGGCAAGGCGTTTGGCACACAAGACTACCTTTTGAAGCACCTCGAGCGCCGTCATCCCGGTGGTACGGTCGATGCAGCGTCGCCGGTTAGCATCACTGCATTTCCTTCAGAAAAGCTACCAAATGTGATGTGAGTAGGAAGCAGAGGATGACCCGGCGGTCGTCTACGCCAAGCCAACCACGACGCGGATCAAACCGTCGCTGCCCGACTACCAAGCCGTTCTGAGCAAGCTCGAGACCATGCTCTCGCAGCACGAGGTGTCGATTCGCGCGGTGGCGGCCGACGAGACGGCCAAGCTCAAGGCGATGCAGACCGAGATGCACCTCGAGAGCGGCATCAAACCGAGCTGCACGTCGCACGCGCCGCTGTCAACGCTCGGTACCATCTGGCTCACGGCTGGGTGCTATGACATCAGGACACGTATAGGCTGGACGACGCGCAGCGTCACTTGGCCCAGGTCTTGGAGGAACGCGAAGACGCCATGGTCGGTGCTTTGTATTCAACGATAGCGCACCTTTATGCATGAGGTAGAAACAACTGTTGGATCTCAAAGACGAGATTGCGCTTCTCCAACAAAAGCAAGCGATGCAGCTGCCGCCGCCAACTCGGATCGACGCCGTCGTGCCGGACGTCAAGGACCGGCTGACGATTGAGCGGCTCGAGGCCATCGTCGGGCACTCCAAGGACGCACTGGCCCTCGCGCGGGACGACTTGAAAACGACGCATGACAAGTACGCCGACTTGCTCGTCACGCATGAGCGCACCAAGTTCGAACTTGCGGCCGTCCAGAAAGACCTGCACGACGCGCGGCAACCGCCGATGCCAGTCCCGACAGCGTCTGTCATGTGCCAAACAAACACTGCAGCCGATACAAAGGACGCGGTGGCGCAAACAATCCTGGTTGTTGACGCACCTCCGCCCAAGGCGCAGGTCATCGAAGCTGCGGTCGAGCCCGAGCCAGTACACCCCATACCTCTGGTTCCAATCCCGCCCTCCCCTCTAGAGGTGGCGCACACCGGTGTACAGACCGACGCCATGGTATATCCAGCACCGCTAGTACCACAAGCGGCATTTGAGCCAAAGCCCGTCGAGGTCGTGCCAGAGCCCGTCGCATCCGAGCCGACACCACGTCCAAGCGCACGGCTTCCGCCCGAGCTCCTGGCCGTACACATTGATGCCGTTCTGGCGCAGATCATGGCCCGAGCCGAGAGGTAGGCGACGCTTTTGCGTGGGACGTACTGTACTGTATGGCATAGACCGGGCGCGATGACGTCCAATCTCGCATCGGAACACGTGCTGGCCCGTCGCCCGTTCCTGAAGAGCGCCTGGCCACATGCTGCGACGGCCGTCGAGACGCGCATGAAGCAGCACTTGGAGACGCTGGACCATGTGTGCGAGCGCTATGGTGTGAGTCGGGTAGCGACGAAGCTGAGTTCATCGCAGCACGCGCTCGCGACGACGGCGCTTAAGGCGCACTTGCACGCGATGCCGGTGGCCGTGCTGCAGAAGATGGTGGCCGTCGACACGACGGCCGAGGCGCTCGTCACCTCCGAGTGGCTTCCGAACGAAGCGTCCCGGCAGGCAGCATTAGCCGCGATCCAGACGCGCATGGACGAGCAAGACGCGACGCAAACCCACTGGGTCCAGCGTATCCTCGAGAAGAAGACGGCGCCCGATGACCCGCCGGCGACGACGACGACGACGCTGACAAAAGTACTTCGGCGCCCGCCACCAAGCGACATGTCGGCCACCGAGAAGGATGCAGCGCCAACAACCCGCAACGTCCAGGAGGCGATTCAAGCATCGGCCGCAAACCATGAACCGACCGCGGCAGCATTGGGAAGCGTGCTCAAAGACAACGAAGGCGTGAGCGTGTCGGTGGCGCCCCGAGAGCCGAGATCAGTGACGACTGCCGTGTCGGTCGTCACACGAGACCAAGCCTCTGCTTTAATCCCGTCACGGGCCAGTCCCCTCGAATCACATAACGTAGAAGGAGCATCGTTCGCGATGCCAGTGCCAAGGACGGCCCACCCTACCACGGAGCTACCAGTGCACCCGGAGCTCGATGCGGGACGTACCACTGCCATCACGGAAGCACCGCCGACAGTCTCACCAAAGGCAGTTCACGTCATCTCTGTGGGGCGTAAAGCTGCGCCGCGCACGGAAGAAGTACAAGAGGCAGGCAGCGAAGTGCTTGTTACGTCGCCGCTCAACGCCGCAGAACCGCCGAATCCTCGAGACACAGCGCCCTCCACAGACGTTTTCAGTACAGAAGGCGACGAGACGGCGGCTATTGCGAGCCTTGCTGCGTCGCGTTGCAGCAGCGATGCAGTCGACGGAGCATCCTTTGTCGCCGACAAGTCGCTGGTGGCAGGCGTTTTTAACAACGACCACGAAGCGTCCTGCGAGGTAGACGGCACCTGCACGCAATCGACTGGTATCATTACACGTGCGCTAGGCGAATCAAGATGCAAGGGCGATCGATGTGGATGACGACGAAGATCACAGCCCTCTCCAGGACGTCGGTCGGTTGCCCACCGAGGTATTGCGTCTGTCGAGGAAAAGATATGACAGCCATCATGACGCATGCAACAGGACGCTCCAGCCCAGCGAATGAATAAGGAGGAAGAGGCTAAGTGTTCTCTCTTCGGGCAGGATGGCGGTGTCACTGGTCCATATTCGACCGCAGATGACGCACACGATGACGACATCCAAGAGCTTGACATCAGCGATAGCATGATGTCGCAGCAACCTCAAACGAGTGTCGTGTCGGCCGGCGACGTCTCGGGCGACGAAGATGAACCGGAAATTCCATCCATTGACGTGGACGCACCGCTACATCCCATCGACAACGCCGCGCCTCCCAAAGTGGTCATAAGAGACGCCGACGTGGAGGACGAGACACATCCAGCTCCAGATCTAGGCGACGTCTCGACAACAAGTGCGGACGATCTGCAAACTGGATCTGGATCAGGCCACGACGAGACACCACCCGCGTCCATGACCGAGGCGCCGAGTCGAACGCTTCGAGTCAGCAGCGTGCTTTCGTCGATAGAGTCAATCCCAGACGACTCGGTGGTCGAGAGTTCTGTCCTTGAGTCGTCCATGCTGGAGTCCTCGGTGCTTGAGGCGTCCGTCGTCGACACGTCCTTCGTCGAAGAGTCGGTCGAGTCTTTTGCTGCAACAGATCCCGCTGTCTTGCGCGGCAGGGACATGGATGACGACGCGTATGCGCGGCCAAAGACTGCACCACGCATGAGTCTCCGCGACAGCTTGCTTCACACCCAACAGTCGGCACCTCTTCGGTCGACGACGTTTTCTCGCCCGAGCATAAACCGTTGGGACAGTGATGAGGATGACGTCAATCTACCAGATGCAACGCCCCTGCAGAGGTAACTCATCGACTTCAGCGCGTGTTCTCACAGCGTCGTGCCTGTAGCCTGCGCCACAATGACACGATGGGTACGTCCTCCAGTTGCAGCGTTTACCCAAGCGATTTCGCTGTCTTTGTGCGTAGACGACGATCTGGAAGAGGAAGAGCTTGCGTAATCCATCGACACAATTTTAGACATCCAAAAATGATGCATCGTCGCGCGGCGGCAGCACGTGTACCAAGAGGAGCTTGAGCGCGATACCAAGACCTTCGTTGGTCTTGGCGCTCACTGGAAAGCAGTCGAGTCGCACCTGCTCGTGCCACATTTGGTCGCCCGCGTCCAAAGGCTGTTTGATAGGGCAGTCCGCTTTGGACTGGAACACCACCGCCGGAAGCCCGAAGTGGTGATCAGGGCTAGGGTACATTGTTTGCAGCACGTCGTAGTAGGCCTGCACGTGCTTGCAGCTCGAGGCGTCGGTCGTGCTCGCGACAAAGATGACAGCGTCGGCGCCTTCGAGGTACGCTCTGTCCTTTGAGAGATGCGGCGTCGACGGCACATCCCACATCTGCGGCGTTTATGGCATCAGTCAACCAATCGACTTGGCACATACTTCAATCACAATCGTCGGTCCACCGTCGAGTGCGATCGACTTGAGTCCAATGTTGACTACATAGTATCCCGGAGCTCAATCCTCAAGGGTGTCGTGAAGCGACGGACTGTACCTCCAACGTCGACTCGGGACGCGCTAGGCTCAAAGTGATTGCGCAAGAGCCGATAAAAGATGCTGGTTTTGCCGACTCGTGGGCCGCCAAGAAGGAGCACCTTGATCTTCTTGAGTGTCACCACGTCTTCCGAGACCTTGCACCCCCGCACTACGTTCAAGTGCTTGGAATCAACCCTCGGTCGGTGTATGTGCACGGCACCGGTGGATGCAATTGGACCCATCGTCCGTTTCAGCAACTTCAAAACGTAACATCAAGCGGCTTCCACCATGCAGCGTCGCGTGTTTCGTTTGATTGAAAGCTGGCACTTGTTGGACGCCTGCGAGCGTACTTGCACTCGACGCTAGTAGCTGTGCCGACACTACCATGTGCCGACGTCGTTGTCGATACACTACCATTAGTGCATGTACACTATTTCACAGGTGTCAGGAATTACAGTGACGTGCAAAGTGGCAGAAATTCGAAAAGATCGCCCATGCACGCAAGAGCGCGGCTGGCGGCGGCCTACAGCTTCCCGTGGACGGTCTACGGCGTGAGCTGGAGCAACAGCCGCAGCGACAAGGTGCTCGCCGTCAGCAGCATCACGGAGGAGTACGCCAACCACCTCCAGATCCTCGAGCTCCACGAGGCTGACATGGCCGAGACAAGCAAGAGGTACACGCTCACCGTCAAGGCTGGCGTCGAGCATCCGTACCCGCCGACGCGGGTCATGTGGTCACCGGCGACGATGCCCGAGACGCGGCTAGCGTCGACGGCCGACTACCTTCGCATTTGGCACCCGCAAGAGAACGGCCTGAGCTTGAGCGCGATCTTGAGCAACAACCGGACGGGCGATTCGTGCGCGCCGCTCACGTCGTGCGACTGGAGCGACATGGACCCGAACATCCTCGGCACGTCCTCGATCGACACGACGTGCACGATCTGGGACCTCAACGTACGCCGACCTCGCCGCCTCCGCACTCCTCATAAAGTGCAGATTTCTAGAACACCAAGCAGGCCAAGAAGCAGATCATTGCCCACGACGCCGAGGTCTTCGACATGGCCTTTTCACCGCTGCATGGTGGCAGCAATATCTTTGGGTCCGTCGGCGCTGACGGCTCGCTGCGTGTGTTTGACATTCGGTACGACCTCCTCTTGTGCTTCGAACCGTTGACGCACCGCGTTGTAGCTGCTTGGAGTCGTGCACGATTGCGTACGAGACGCCGGACCTGAGCGCGCTCTTGCGGCTCGCATGGAACAAACACGACGCCAACTTTGTCGCGGTGATGCTCGTCGACAGCCCGACGGTCCTCGTACTCGATCTGCGCATGTCGGCGTCGCCGTATGCGCAGCTCACCAACACCAAGGCAGCGCACAACAACAGCAATGTGAGCACCGGTCGGCCTCCGAGCGTCAACGCCATGGCCTGGTCACCGACGTCCGCGCATCACATTTGCACGGCTGGAGAAGACCACGAGGCCATCATGTGGGACACGCGTGTGCACGCGCCCGTCTTGCAGTATTCCGGCGGGTCGTACATCAACGCGATTGGCTGGTGCCAGACGGCCCCCGAGTTTCTGGCTATGAGCATCGACAAGACGCTCCACGTTGTCACCATTTAACGCTGTCCGAAACAATCTGGTTTGAAATGACCAGTCTTGCCCCAAAATGTCGTCAACCAAAAACCAGTTCCCACATGTCGTCTGCGTCGAGATGCGAGACGCAAGTTGGCACTTCATGGCCGCCCACGTGCGCAGGTGCGACTCGCTCCCGTACGCCTCCGAAATCAGTGCGGTGTGGATCGCCACGCAGACGCGTCGCAAAGAGGTGTAGCAACGATGTGAGCGTGTTGAGCTGGCATGATTTACTTCCACTTTTTCTTGTACTCGTCGTTCTCGACGACACCAAACTTTTTGCCATCCTTGCGCTTCTCGGGCGCCCAGCCAGCACCGACGTTGAGCGTCTTGGCCTTCTTGCCATCGACTTGGAACTCGGTCCAATTGCCCATGCGCTTCTCGCGCCGGTCGTTCTGGGACCAGTCCTTGTCGTGCTGGTACACGGCGCGTTCCTACGATCGTCGATCAGCGTCTTTACAGTGGCGAGAATACAACCTTTTCTTTGGCTTCGTCCTCTTGATCGGCTTCGCGGCGGCGCTGCGCAGCCTCGCGCGCCTCAAAATTGCGTCGGCGATTCTCAATTTCAGCAAACGCCTTCATGACCGCCTTCTCCTTGACCTCTTCGATGGGCGGGAGGTCTTTGGCCTTGAACTTTTTGAGTTTCTTCCGTCGCTCGGCTTCGGCTTCGCTGATCGCGTTGTCGATCGTGCGGACACAGAGCTTGCGCCGGTCTTCGTTGAGCATTTGGTCGTGGGCCTTTTTTATTTCTACGATAATTCACAGTTGTGGTGAGTTCCTCAGCGTGCCGTCGCACCTTCAAAGGCTTCGCGGGCGCGCGGGTCGGGACACTTGTCCGGATGCACCATCCCCGAGAGCTACGTTTTGCCCATGAGTACCTTGTATCAAGTTGATAGATTCCGAGACCTTGCGGTAGTGCTGCTTGATGTCTTCGTCCGTTGCGTCCGTCTCGAGCATGAGCACGAAGAACGGGTTGAGGTTGATCCACTCGTAATGCGGCTGCAGCAGCCGCTTGATCTGAAAATCGGCGTCAACTATAGTCGATCTGAGCAACAGCGCGCGAGACAGACCACACGTACAAAAGTCGACAATCTTCTTCTCGCGCGGCGCTTCTTCCGGCTTCTTGACCGTGTTGGCTTGGTCCTCGAGCTCTTCGACCTCGTTCATGAAGGACGCAAGGAGGTCCTCCTCGGCCTTCTTGGCCGCCTCCTCTTCCTCGCGCTTGAGCCGAATGGCCTCTCGCTCCGCGTTTTCTTGGCGCAGCCGCTGCGTGTGTTCGTCAGCGACCTTGCGCACGTCCTCGATTGCCTGCGCCAGCGACGCGTTGCCCGGGTCCTTCTCGAGCCCACGAAAGTAGGTGCTCTGCGCAATGTCAAAGCGGCCCAGCGCATGCTCGGCCGCGCCCTTGCGGATGTAGCCCTTCCACCATTCCGGCTTGGCGGCGATACAGGCTTCGGCGTCGCGCAAGGCCTTGGTCTTGGAATCGTTGGCCAAGTGCGCCGCGCTGCGGTTGCTGAGGTACACGGCGTTCGTCGGGTCCAGCTCCAGCGCGCATGTGTAGAGGCGGATGGCCTCAACGTAATTCTTTTCCTTGAGCGCGTCGTTACCCTGGGCCTTGAAGGCCTCTGCCTGCGCCAGCGCGGCCTCGAGCGCTTCGTCGACGTGCTCCTTCGCGTCCATCCTCCGCTAACACCGTGGGCGTTCTTGATTGGTCGAAAAGGCTGCTGCTTCGGATTGGCCAAAATATCTGCGCGCACCGATTGGACCGTTCGAAAGATCAAACCAACCACCAGCCAAAGCAAGCAGCATGTCCGACGGAGACAAGCGAGTCCCGCCGACGACGCAGCGCCTCAAGTACGTTCATGAGACCAGCGCCGATCGCCAAACTCTCATGCATGTAGCTCTCTGCGTGCGTCCGACGCCAGCGCATCGGCGGCCAGCTCGGCGGCCGCCCGGCGGGTACTCCGACCTTGCACCATGCATGCCACAATCATTGACCGTGCATGTAGTTTGTGCCCCGACCGAGCCAGCGCCGCAAGGCCGATGGTACCGACGCACCCGAGCCCAAAATCAAGGCCGAGACGCAGGCCAAGGCCCCGCGCCCTAGCCAGGGTGGCCGTGGCGATCGCAAAGCTGAGCACGGCGGCCGCAGTGGCCGTGGCAGCGCCGAGCGG